AAGACGATGCAACAAGTCGTTGGTGTCTATGTCAATGAGAATCACTCAGCGGCTGCCAAACTGGATCGAAACACCATTGCTCTCAAGCAGTTCTCTAACAACGGAATTGAATGTGCCGAGACATCGGGATTTAATCAATTCATCCGATATATTCATCATATTTCCAATGATGAACCGCTTCGCTACATTGAATCACACAGCCACGAACTCATTTCGGTAGATCACCTCCTTGTTGATACAATTGATTTGAATTTAAACATTGATCGTCTTCAAAATATGTTACATCGTTTGAAAGTTTTCAAAATTCGACATTGCACCTGGGAAGGAGATTTCTACGAACGCGCCATGCAATATTGTGTCAATTTAAAACGATTAAGCATATGTAACTACGAAAGCAATATCCTTAAAATTTCAGGAAACGATTGGTTGCTGAAGATTTATCCATCACTTGAGCATTTGGAATTGACGTGTCGGTCAATGGTATTTGATGTTAATGAATTGACCAACTTTTTTGAGCTCAATCCAAATGTCCGTAGTTTTACGACAAGCTACGAATTGCTTTCGCTAAATAGCATCGAATTTATCGAAAGTGCAATACATTTAGATGTGTTAGAGGTGAAAGTATTGAAAACATTTCTGCTGCATACTGTGAGCGCAAAAGTCAATGAGATTTTTGGCCTCTTGAATGAACTCCACGATCTAGGATTTTTCAAACGATTACACTTATTTGTACAAAATAGTCCTGAAGACTTTATCAAACAAATAGTTTCGTTAAAAGGTCTTGAAAAACTGTGCATCTCTAAAGTTTATGATGGTTACAATTGGCCGATCCTATCGAATTTAAAGGACTTTGGTATTACAAGTACATCGCAATTATTCGATGGAGATAATTTAGCACGTCAATTTGTGAATCTTGAACGATTCTACCTTTACACTTCCAGCTACCCTGCTATGCGATCATTTATTCGCTATTCGGCTAAATTGAAGCAAATTTTTGTGAAAGAGGTCGAAAACTACAATGGAATTATTCGTAAAATATCAAAAATGAATAAAGAACGCGAAAAATTGAAAAATGCCCAAAAAGTCACGATTTATGTGCCAGATGATATTTTTGTTTCTAACAAATGGATGGACACATGGAAATCTAAATCTGAATTTAGTTGAAATTAGGCGATGTGACTCATACCGATGGGATCATTATTATGATTTTTGTTTTTGAAAGTAAAAAAGTAAACAATTTTCACTGAACAATGAGGATGAAATGAAACTATTTTATAACTCATTTACTTTGGGTATAATCGGTTTGTCTAAAATAAAAGCAAAAGAGAATAAAGACAATTATTTCAACATAAAATACACGTTTTTTCTCCTAACTTATCCGATGAAGGATTACTTTAAAATCTAAGGAAATATCCATTGAACTTTAATTTAAAATAGCTACGAAAATAAACCAACGAAGAGTGAGTATTACTCCAATTTACCAATAAAGAGTGTATATTTTCAAACTGATGAATTCAGGTAAAAGTTCCGAAGGTTATTTATGTTGATTAAAATTTTCATACTGAACAAAAGAAAAATCTCGATATGTCTTTAATATTTCAGTTTTTTTTCTTTCCTTTTTGTGGCTCTGGCAACACCACGATGAACATAAATGAACCCTTAACATTGCTTAACCTGTCAAATGATGACACTTGATTCATTATATATCAACAAATTGTTTAGCCCGGCATACGTTCTGTGAATTTCTTTGATTTGCAAAAATCTCCAAATAAATTGATTTCCCTTTGAATTCTAGAGTGTTTCAGTCTTTATTTGGCTGATAAAGTTTCATTGCTGATCAAAATTCAAATTGTGCGTTCAATTACTACCGTATAAGTTGCAATTATTGAATCTACGCCTAATAATAATAAAAGAAGTGTGTTTTCTCCATTTACAGGATACAATGCGTATAAAAACAACACCACGAGTGCTTAATCTTGAAGTGCCGAACATCAGTCAATTGGACGAATTTTGGTCGCCCGATGTGATTGTTCGTGATATTCCGTGGAAAGTTAAAGTTTGGAAACATGAATTTGAATCACACCTATCTCTGTGCGTCTATTTATTCTGTGAGGATCAAACGCCCGATAGGACGAATGTGGCATCAGCAACAATTAAACTTCTCAGCGAAAATATTCCAATCGAAAAGTTCATCGGGCCAGATGCATTTGGAAAAGTGGCCTTGGAATAGTTTTATGATCTGAATTGATGGATGCATCGAAGGGTTATGTTACGTAGAATGATGCCATCAATCTGTACATAACAATCCAAGCCAATAATCCAAATGAAATTCGGATGAGCAAATTGCAGTTTGAATGCGTGGACAAATGCTGTGATGATACTTTTTTGGCCAAATACCGGTTGACCATATACAATCTGATGGCCGTTCAATCGCCACAATTCATCGTATGCAATATGCTCTGGCGATTGACAGCATTCAAAAGCCATTTGAGCCATCTCACCGTTCGTTTGGAATCGAATGATACATCGGAAAAAGTCAGATGCAACGTCAAGCTGACAGTGAAACTGATGTCATCAACCAATTCGATCGAAAAGACTGGATCAAAACAATTCCGGTGTTACAATATCTTGAGTATCGGCTGGAATGAGTTGCCATGGGACCAGTTACTCAATCCAGACAATGGGTTTGTTGAAAATGATCAAGCTGTCATCGAGGTCGAGATAAAAACCGACAAACCCGAAGACATCAATCCGAATGGCAGAAAACGCAAAGCAAAGCAATCAAAGTCAGCAAAAATGATGTGCATCATTTGTTCAAAATCAATCGGTAGTGAAAGTACATCTTTTACACCATGTGGCCACCTTTTCTGCACCACATGCATTCGCAACGCAATCAGACGCAATGGAACATGCCCAAATGCAACATGCAAACGCCAAATTACTGTGAAGCAGCTACAACGCGCCCATTTGACATTGTAAGTTGAACTTTTCCGAATTTGCTCACAAAGAGCAGACATATGGACCGATTTTTAGTAACTTTAATCATATATCTGTTTTATGTTGCAGCAAAAATTGAACAAGGACGGGGACGCAGAAGATGAATCAACTGAAGTTCAATTTGAAATCATTGAGTCCGAAGTCACCAATCAACTTTCAAGGACATAGATACATAACAAAAGCATTATTACACACTGTGTAATACACAGTTACCGGATGAAGATTCTCATTTTTTAACGTAAAAAATACCATAAAATCCAATAGCTTCCACAAAAGAGGAAGACAAACTTCCCTTGTTACATTTGTTTTAATGAATAGACTAATTGAGATTGGATGTCCTTATCAATATTATGAAATAATCAAATAAAAAATGAATAAACGTGGAAGAAATATCAATTCTTTGTAATTGGCCAGTGTTAGTGTTTTCAAGCTGAATATATTGGCATTAAATGCAAAACCTTTTCTAACGAAAAATTATCCTACCTAAATTTGTCTTTACACTTTGCAAAATCAAATGATTTTTTTTAAATATTTTTCATCATTTTCAATAAGGAATCTCAAAACTATAATTCATTGTAAATTTCATTTGATGCATTGAACTTGAAGTAATTTGGTACATTGACCAAATTTTTTAGCCAAACAATTTCATACGATTTTGAATAATGCGCAATTCCAAACGTCATTTGGATTTATTTGAGTGACAGTTTGATAGTCTCTATTATCTCTCACTTAACTGTCAAAATAATAATTCTTTGTTTTCAACCAGTTTGAGTTTATTATAGACAGATCACGACTTTGATATAAAATAGAAGGTTTTGAGAGTTTTCCATAGTAATTAAATGTTAAAATTGATTGTTTTGTTTGTTTTTTTTTTTAAATTCATTTTAGTAAAGCATCCGGACTAAATGAATTGCCGAATCTCTAAAGTCTATCACAATGAGTGAAAACACGGAAAGCATTGAGGGAATGTCGAACAAGAGGCAAAAGCTGGACGAAAACAATGACGTTGGCCCAAGTGGATCACCTATTCCAATTGACCAAAATGAAGAGTCTCCTCGTCTTTTCAAGTTGAACATCGACTGTTTCAATGAGCTATTGGACTATTTGTCAACGAAAGATTTGCTTGTTCTCAGTCAAACATGCAAGACGATGCAACAAGTCGTCGGTGTTTATGCCAAAGAGAACCATTCACAGGCTGCCAAAATGGATCAAAATATTGCCCACAAGCAGTTCTCCAACAATGGAATTGAATGTGCCGAGACATTGGGATTTAATCAATTCATCCGATACATTGATCATTACTCCGACAATACTGAACCGCTTCATTACATTGGATCGCACAATCTCGAACTTATTTCGGTAGATCACCTTTATGTTGATACAATTGACTTGAATTCAAACGTTGATCGTCTTCAAAATATGTTGCACCGATTAAAAGTTTTCCAAATTCGACGTTGCATCTGGGAAGGAGATTTCTACGAACGCATCTTGCGATATTGTGTAAATTTAAAGCGGTTAAATATATCTGATTCAGAGGGTCTCATAAAAAGGTCAGGGAACGATTGGTTACTGAAGAGTTACCCATCACTTGAGCATTTAGGATTGTTAAAATGGCCCATAGCATTTGATGTTAATGAATTGATTGGATTTTTTGAGCTCAATCCAAATGTCCGTAGTTTTATGACTAGCTACGAATTGCTTTCCAAAAATCGCATCGAATTCATCGAAAGTGGGATACATTTGGATGTATTGGAGGTAAAATTGATGGAGAAATCCAGATTACGAATGAATGCGAGAGTCAATGAGTTTTTTGGCCTGCTGAGTGAACTCTATGATCGAGTCTTTTTTAATCGGCTTCATTTATATGTGCAATATATTACCAAAAACTCCATCGCTCAAATAGCATCATTACAAGGTCTAGAAAAGCTGTGCTTTGATTGTATTTGGGATGGTTACGATTGGCCGTACCTACCGCTTTTGAAAGATTTAGGTAATTTGAGTTCATCTCCTTTATTCGATGCAGACGTTTTTGCACAGCGTTGTGTAAATCTTCAACGATTATACCTTAGCACTTCAAGTTTTACTGATATCCGTACATTCATTCGCTATTCGGCGAAATTGAAGCAAATTTTTGTGAAAGATACAAAAATCTTTCGTGGACTCATTCGTAAAATATCGGCATTGAATAAAGAACGTGAAAAATTGAAAGAGGCTCAAAAAGTCACGATTTATGTTTCAGATGATCTTTTTGTTGCCAGCAAATGGATTGCGACACATGGAAATATGAATTTGAATTTAGTTGAAATCAGACGATCGGACTCATACCGATGGGATCATTATTATGATTTTTGTTTATAAAAGTAGCAAAATGAACAATTTTCACTGAACAATGTGGATGGAACGAGACGGTTTTATAACTCATTTACTTTAGGTATAGTCGGTTTTTCCAAAAAAAAGCAGAAGAGAATAAAGACAATTATTTCAACATAAAATAAATGGATTTGTTTTTTTGTCTTATCCGATGATAGGATATAGAATAAAAGTTCAATAAGAATTTAAATCGAATATATCCACTCAATTTCAATTTAAAATAGCTATGAAAAGAAGAGTGAATATTTTCAGACTCTTGAATTCAGATGAAAGTTCCGAGGGTGAGTTTATTTATGCTAATCGTTCAAATTTTTCATACTCAACAAAAGCAACATCTCGTTGTATCCTTATCTCAGTTTACTGTTCTCTTTGTGGCGTTGGCAACACCACGATGAACATAAGTTCATATGAACACGAATGAACGCACCCAAACACCACTGCTTGATCTGTCAAACGATGACACTTGATTTAGTATCAACAAGTTGTTTGGCCCGGCGTATGTTTTGTTAATTTTTTTGATTTGCAAAAATCTCCAAATAAATTGATTCCCATTCAAATTCTACAGTGTTTCAGTCTTTATTTAGCTGATAAAGTTTCATTTCTGGGCAAAATTTCAATTGTGCATCCAATAATTTCTACATAATTGCAATTATTGTGATTGAATCCACGCCAAAAAAAAGTGTGGAAAAAAGACAAAGTATTAAAGCAAGTGTTAGTGTCACATTCGGTCACATTCGGTAACAATACCTATAAATGTTTCATTGGATATATGGATATAAACAACAACAGTCAGTCTGATGTAATTTGGTCTAAAAAATTTATTCTTTCTTTTTGATTCAACAGATTTTCACGATTGAGCATAGGATGTCGGTCTTCAATCCATTAACCAGCGACTATTCAACTCAACTATTCGCGGCGATCGGAAAGAAGTTGTACATGAACTCTGAATCGGCCGATGTTCATTTTGTTTTCGAAGCAAATGATGACTACGAACGAGTCCCGGTACACAAAGCTCACTTAATGAGCGGTAGCGATGTCTTCGCCAAAATGTTCAATGGATCGTGGAAGGAGATGGATAAGGTGAAGATTGGCGATGTGTCGGCTTCTGCCTTTAAGGAATTTCTCCAATTCTTCTACTTTGGCCGAGTCAAGCTAACGATGGAAAACGTCGCTGCAGTGATGAATCTCGGTGAAATGTACAATGTGACCGAGTGTTTGGCGGCATGCAGTAAATTCCTGAAAAACAACATCAGCAATGAAAACGTCTGTCGAAACTATGAACTGGCAATCTTGCTCAATCAAGAAGGATTGAAAAAGGCATGTGAAACATTCATTGGAGTGAATATCAAAGCAGTGTTCCAGTCAACAGACTTCCAGACATGCGATCGACAGATGTTGGCTCAAATACTGAAGCTGAATTGGATGTCATGCACTGAGGTTGAGCTCTTTGAGGCATGCATGTCGTGGGTCAAAGTGGCTAGCAAACAGGATGTTTTAACGAAAGAGATCGTACAAGCTCACCTCGGCCATTTGTTCCATGAAATTCGCTTCGGTTCGATGTCATTACAAACGTTTGCTGCACTGATTCCAACGTATGGGTGCACATTTTCGCTTGACGAACACCAGGAAATCGTGCAAATGTTTGCAAATGTTGAATTCCAGCCAACAATCTTTGGTGGAAATCGTGTCGCAAGATGCGATTCCCCAATACCATGGCTTGAAAATCATGACATTCTCTGTGAACGACTAGTTTCGATTCTTTGGTCATCAGTACCATATCGCATCAAAAACTTAGAAACAACTGTTTTCTCAACCAACGAAACTATTTTACTAGGGGGATTCAGCTGTTGTAGGGTGCTTAAATTTCTCAACAATCGATATTTTGCGCTTGAAGGCGACGTTCCAACAAATATAACAATCGCAGAAGTGAGTGACCCGAACAAAAAAGTTATTGTTTCCAATGCAAATGGAATTTTAAAATCCACAGAAAATTTGCGTATTTCACTTACTAAACCAATTATCGTTAGACCTGGTTTTACGTATGAAATTCATTTGGAACAATCTCCCCCAGAAAATTGTTATACAAGTGGTTTAATGAAGTCAATGGTTGAATTGGAATCCGGTATAATTATACAGTTCCATCGTGATTTCGTTCATGTGGATGATCCTATTGTAGCAAGAGGATCAATTTATGAACTGCTTTTCAAAAAAATTTGATACACATTTTACATTAAATATTTTCATGCATTAATATAATGGGCTCATTATTATTATATATATGTTTAAATGAGAATTGCCATGAAATAGTATTCACTGAACACCGAAGATGTAATTAGACAATTAAATGACTCATTTTGTTTCTTCTTCTAAATGTCAATTCACTTGCTCATCAAAATATTACCTTATCAATTTTTCTTCGCGCCAAATCGTGCTTTTTTTCATACACTTCCTAATACCATTTTCAATAAAGATTACTAAAGCCATATAGTTCATTGTGTTTTTCATTCGATGTGTAGAACTTAGAAATACTCCAGGTCGTTGGTCAGACTTTTTCCATTAAATATAAAAATTCGATTCATCAATGTGTGAAATTCTCGCAAAAGATCGTCAGTGTTGACTCAATATCGAAATTAATAAATACGTTGTGTGAATTTTTAACAACGTAAAGTCAGAGCATAGTTTGCGTTAAATTTATTTGAATTGCATTTTTCCGAGTTCCATACAACCTTTCATTTTGTTCGGCGATTTAAATTCTTTTTTGCCCAATGAAAACTTGGTACATTGACCAGACATTGCCGCTTAAATATGTTGGTCCAACGGATAGATATCGACTCTGAATATAATCATTATCAATGTAAGAGCTGCGAACATTTCAGCCAAACAACTTCAGACGGTTTGAATAATGCGCCATTCCAAACGTCATTGATCTGTCAAACGATGACACTTGATCTATTGTCAACAAGTTGTTTAGCCCGGCATACGTTTTGTGAATTTCTTGGATTTGCAAAAATCTCCAAATAAATTGATTTCTCTTCAAATTCTAAAGTGTTTCAGTTTTTATTTAGGTGATTAAGTTTCATTTCTGAGCAAAATTCTAATTGTGCGTCCAATTATAACTACCTAATTGCAATTACCGTGGTTGGAATTGAACCAAAAGAAGTGTGAAAAAATACACAACGATCTGGAATGTAATAGATCAATGAATATATCGATTGAATCATCTTCTTTCCAGTGAGACAATGATTAAAAAAAGTAGTACTTGTGGCGGCACCTAGCGAGTCCATACAACTTTCATATAGTTTGTTTATTGAAAAAATGGTAGGGGAAAATGTGGAGGGGAAGCAGTTTATTGAATGTATAGGCATACACGTTCCACTCGCCAGGAGGCAGTGTAAACTGACTTTTCGATGACATTCAATATTAAAATATGCAAACATTGTCGCACTGTTCTTTCCAAACAAAAATATTCAAAATTATCTATCCTAGCAGCATAATGAAGAGGTGTACGCTGAAGAACGTCTATAGGATTAACTTTAGCTTTTTTTTGCGACGAGCGATTCAACAACCTCCATGTGATCTGAAAAATATCATCGATCAATGTTATAGATCAAATCTTCCTCTTATTTAGTGAAAATATTCAAAATTACCTTTCTCAGTAGCTAAATGAAGAGGTGTCTGATTTGTTAAATCTTCTAAATCAACTTTGGCTCCTTTCTTGATAAGCATTTCAACGACATCCTTGTGTTCTGAAAATTTACACCAGTCAATGAATAAGATCAAATTATTTTCTTGGTTTTTTTTGAAAATAAATGTGCAAAATAACCATTTATAGCAGCCAAATGAAGAGGTTTCCGCTGAAATAGGTCTGTAGAATCAACTTTAACTCCTTTCTTGAGGAGCTTTGTAACGTTCTCCAAATTACCTGAAACAGGTCAATGAAATAGATTAAATCAATTCCGATTTGGTGAGCATAACTACTCAAAGTTACCATTGTTAGCAGCATCATGAAGAGCTTTCATAGTCTGGCTGCTCGTTTTGTCTGTTCGATAAAAATGAAGAAAAAAAAATGGTCAGTGATGTGAAAAATGTCTTACATCCGTGAGATGAACTTTTCCACTTTTTTGTCTAAAATGATAGGGAAATGAGTGTTCAGCATGCATGTCTGTGAGCGCCTCCTATGAGCCAGCTCACACACAGAGAGAGAAAGAGAGAGAGAGAGAGCTGGCTCATTTAGGTAATGTTATCATACAAAGAAATGTCAAAAGATTCACAACTAATATTTAAAAAGAAACGAAAATTTGTTGACATTTGTTCGTATGGCAGCATCACCTAAATGAACCAGATATCTCTGAGTTGAGCGCTCATTTATTGAAGAGCTGGCTCGCTAGCGGCACTCGCGAACATGTTTGGTGTTCACTGAACATGTTATGAGTATCACAATGACGATGATACCGGATGCATCAGGCTCACGAAATATAGAACCAGAATCGAGACATTGTGTTTGCGTCTCATGATATATCGGTGTTGACTTGAATAAGACATCCACCTTCAATCTTACCTTGTGTTACTGCTTTCTTCAATTTTTCAAACAACTTACATCCACCTTCAGTATGCTTCACGTAGAAAATTAAGAACGAAAGAATGTTAATTAGTTTGGAATAACGAAATTGAACGAATTGAAATAAAAAAACCAATTGAATTTTACATAAACAATACACAGAAAAAATTATAATTTACCATGAATTGGTCTCCCAAATTGCGGTCTCCCAAAATCAAACAAACTAAACGGAGAGATAATATTGATTAAAACACAATAAGTGACTGAAATCTCAAGTATTGTCAGAAACGAAAAATTAGGGAATAAAATGAAGGAAAAAAAGCAGAGTATATTTACAGATGGATTCATCATCGATAGATGAATTTATGCGAT